AATGGCACTCGAGCAGCATCTGATTGTAATCAAACAACAGCCGTGGTCAATAAGCCAGGTCTGTGGCAATGTGCCAGATATGTTCAGCTCGGGTTTACATGGACGAACATGGCTCTAAAGGGTGATAATGGAGCTCGCGGCGGTGGCACATGCTTGCTGTATCTGATCAGAGGACAGAATGACGATCAGTCTGGCGCTAACAACAGTCGCGACCTTGACCTCTATTAGCAGATCATGTTCATTAATGGCCCCAATGGACCAATCAGAAAGACACTGAGTCAGACAGACATAGTGCATGTATATGCTCACACACCCTAACACAATTTCATGAGGGTGCGCGCTAATTCATTTGACTTTCTGGAGCAGCGTGACCCCAATCCACTGCATATCATTTTATTTTTTCTCTTCTCTCTAACTCACACCCACACACTTTCTCTTGTGCATAGACAACCACACACTCACACACACACGAACGGCTTCTTTTTCTTTCCTTATCTGTCTGCATCAGTCTGCCATCCATCAGTCATAATGTGGGTATTTAATAAAGCCAACACTACAATAGAATAAATGATGTTCCAAAGGAGATAAGCCTACCAGCTCAGAGACTGCCTCGAGCTGGCTGCCAGCCATCTAAAGCTAAGTACAGACAGGGCAACAGATCACTGGCTGTGCTATCATGGAAGCAGAACAGATAGAAAGGGCAACTATTGAAATACTGTGGTAATCTCCTTCAATAGGCGCATGTAACACGGATGCCATTAGACAATAGAAATGTCATCATTGAAATAACGGATGAAGCAGTCCAACCTTGAGTGTTCTTGGCACAGCTCCTTGCTTTTCCTACAGAATTAAAAAAGGATTGATGGATGCACAGTACGTGTTCGCAATGGTGGATGGACGGGCTGACAGATGAGGTCAGGCAGGAGTCTACGTGGAGTATGATGTGATCTGTGGTGAGAGTGGGGAGCAGGGGGAAGAGAGTCTGGAGAGGTGGAAGTATGCACTGGACAGAAGAGGAATGAAAGTCAGTAGAAGTAAAACAGATTACGTCTGTGAAGGTTCTCGGTCATCCAGGTCATCGTAGTCAAAGGAGCTTGCAAAGAAAAGCGTCTGGACTTCTTTAAGTTGCTTGAAGACATTTCACCTCTCATCCGAGAAGCTTCTTCAGTTCTAAGGTCAAATGGTGGAGAGTCCCAGATTTAAACCTAGTGGGAATTTCCCTCCAAAGAGGGACAAAGGACCCCCGATGATCCTCTACCTAATCACATGAGCCAAGGTGTGAAAGCGGGTTTAGGTCACAATCAGCCAGGGTTTCGGGTGAGCTCATTGTGAAACCTGGCTCCACCTTATCATGTGATTTCCTGAGGTCAGATGGCCCAGGATGTGAGTGGGCATTAAGGCGTCTGGGAAGGGAACTCAAAACTGGATAATAGATGGCAGACAGTTGGTGTCGTAAACCACCGCCTCTGTTCAAAGATGGTCGCTCACAGTGGACGTAGATGGCTTCTTTCACTCCTCTTTCAAACCATCTGTCCTCTCTGTCCAAAATGTGAACATTGGCATCCTTGAAAGAGTGACCTTTATCCTTAAGATGCAGATGGACTGCTGAGTCTTGTCCTGTGGAGGTGGCTCTTCTATGTTGTGCCATGCGCTTGTGAAGTGGCTGTTTGGTCTCTCCAATGTAGAGGTCTGGACATTCCTCGCTGCACTGTACAGCATACACCACGTAACGTGCAAAAGAGGGGTGACGGCACGCAGGGTGGAGTGGGTGGAGAAAAGTGAATTTATGAAAATGACTAAAAAGCATCTTGTGATGATTTTTCAGGCAACAGCCAACCCTGGAAAATAAATAGTTTTAACTCTTCATATGGGCAAAGTTAGAAAATACATAAATCTGAGTGACAGGATCTTAAAAGATGAAAGGGAACACTTGCACCATGGCTCTTTCTACTCAGACCACACGTGTCTTCTGACCTGACCTCAATTACGATCCCTGGAAAGTTGCGCATCTGTATTTTGCATGACTGATGAAATCTATCTGCAGAACAGACAGAGGCAGAACTATAAACCGCCACAACGGCCCACTCACAACCAGCTTTCCAGTAGTTCATTCCACAGTACTGCACACCAGCAGACTCAAAAAATAAAACAATACCAGCCATACTGTCACACAATTTAACCAGTGCAGTACAACACACACAGAATGAGAAGTATTTAAATCCATACTTGTGAAATGGAGCAAAAACCCACATATAGACAAAGCCACACAGGAAACAGCATCACTTAGTTTAAGCCAGTAAAAGATGAGATGCGTGTAGTTATGGAATGCACAAAGATAAGAAAGGTTCAGGCCCATGGCACAGACCAGTGAGTCATGCCTTTAAGATCCTTTCGTTCTGCTGCGCGTGTGTCTGTGGCGAGCGCTGCTAAGCAGGCATGTCGGTTTCAATTTTGTGACGCAGAAGACATACACTCATGTTATTGTCTTATCTCTCTGTCAAATATCTACCTCCTGTCTAAACTGAGGCAGAGTGGGTGGGGGCATAAATGAACCAAAAGCTACAGCAGATGCAACAGGATGGTGCCGGGGGTTTGCAGAATACCAGGAGTCAGGCCAGCTAAGGCAGAGATGGGAGAAGACAAATGGCTGATTTGGTCATAAATCTGCCAGAAGCCAATCTAATTGGCCATAACCGTACATCACTCCACGCCACTCTGACGCTATTAACCGTGAAACTGTGCCTCTCTGACACATGTACAAAATAAACAACCTGCTTTACTGGTCATGAGGATGTTTTTTTTTAAGTTCAACCAGGGTTAAAGAGTAGGAAATTGCATAAAGGAGTATGTCATAGATTTAGCCAAATTTCCACGTAAATGACCGGAATGTGACCCAACTTTTGATTTCACGTATTGAGTGATGGCTTTGTTTTGTTTTTTTGTCAGCTGCATCACGTTCATGGCGGTAAGTGCAGCCTATTTATGCCAAAACTGTCACTCAGATGCACATAGAAAAAGAAAAAATAATAAACAACACACAGACTATTGATCGCTCATAAAAACAACAATAATAACACATAACACTGCCTTTTCAGGGAAATGAAATTTTGTCAGTGCTCATACTACAAGTAAGGGGCAATCTCCCTGGTCTCATAACACACCTGATTTCTCTTAATAAAAGTGCCGACCAGTGCCATCTGAGGAGTATTTTAATAATGTCCCTTATTAAATAAAGAGTCCCTGTTCTGTGTACCCACAGGTTAAAAATGTAAGAAAAAAAGAACAGGAGGAACTGCAGTGAGGTACCCAGTCACTCTGTTATGTTTTCTGACACAGGATCCTAATTTAGTGCTTTTCTTTAATAATCTGTGACCATATACACAAACTCTGCAAAATCAAATCTTTCTCTGTGTGATTCTTTGAAATTCAGCACAAACCAGATGTGCCGATGCTTCAAACAGTATCTCAGATGAAACCTGAAAATAACAGGGGTCAATGAAGCAGCAAACCTATAAGAAAGCCAATGCTCTAACCGAAAAACTGCCAAGGTTGCATGCTGGGGCAATCCTGCCCACTGCTCACGAGAGGCGTGTATCCACAACAGACTAGGTCTAAAGGTTGCAATGCTCTGACATATGAGCATGTGTGTACACTTGCCTATGTGGTGATGACATGGAACCCTCTTTTAGAATTAAGTGACAGCTGGAAAGGATCATGAGACCACTGGGAAAGAAATTAAATCCCACGGCTGGAAAGGCAGAGAAGGGCAGCATTGGCAAGAGATGAGAATGGTGGGTATGGCATAGAGACAAGGGCTTTAATTTAGTATCCACTGTACAATTAAAGGGCCAGGTTTTTGTGATGTTAAATAATCAGACCACGTTCAATCATTTCAAAGCTTTGCCCACCTTTAATGTGACCTATAACATTTTCAATTCAACTATAAAAAACAAACAAATCTGTGAGTAAAAACACAAAAATAAAAATGTAAGCTGGTTGCACAACTGTGCACACACATCAAAACAAATGCACATTTTGATTTAATCACAGCATTCAGTATTAGTCTGCATGGCACACCTTGACATGGCAGTATTTGTCCGCTTGTCATTGCAAGGGCATCTCTTGTGCACAGCCCTTCACATTGCCCCACACATTCTCGTTTAGGATTTAGATTTGGACTCTGGATGGGATGCCCAAACCTTTAATTTTCTTCTGATTAAGCCAATCTTTTGTTGATTTGGATGTATGCTTGCAGTCATTGTCATGCGGAAAGGTTACATTCATCTTCATCTTCATCTTTCCGGCAAAAGCCCAAAGATTTTGGGGCAACAGTGACATTGCAAAGAACTGATTGTCCCCACAAAACTGATGAAAAGACAAGATGAAAACTAGTCAAGTAGGCTGCCAAAGGTTCTACAGGTCTACAGCAACACTGAAGGAGCTGCAGGAATTTCCAGAAAGTGCAACCATGCTGGTTGTATACTACTTGGAACGACAAACTCCAATATTCTCCATAGGTTTGGAGTTTGAGGTACGGTTGCAAGACGGACTAAAGAAAAAAACAAAACAAAAACAATCAAGCTCAGCTACAATTTGCAAAAACAAAGCTCCCCGGAAAAAAAATCAAGTTTCCCAAAAACATGTGGGAAATTTGTGCCAAAAGATATGTTTTGGTGTTGCAACACCAAAAGAACACCATACCTATGGTAAAGCATGGCGGTGGCAGTATCATCCTGTCATTTCAAGCATTTTATATTATAAGACCCTAAAAAATTATAAAGAAATACCAATTAGTTCTGGAACCTCTCAGACGTAAACTATATTCAATTGTGCAGGTTAGAGGTCACATTAAAGGTGGGAAAAGTTTTGAAATGATCTATTACAGTCACATAAAACTGTTATTTTAACATTTTACACATACTATCTACTGCATATATGTAGCGACAAAATGCATTTATTACGCAAACATATGTAACTGAAACAAACTTTTGAAACATTTCTTCATTTGTCCTTTTATTTTTATTTCAGTGAAAATTATCTCATGGTAACATTGCTAGTAGCACATTTATGTTAAATTCCAAATTGGGACTCTACACCAGGTTCATCAAATGCGATCCCTGCACTGGGAAGCACATGGTGGTTTGTGTAAGAAGTACAACAAAACAATAAAACAGAATTTTTCTAGCCCTGAGTCTTGGTGCAGTCATGTGGTTTCCACCACTGTGCAAACTGTAACACTTTCTTCCTCTGGTCATCAAAATTTTCTTTAATCATCTTTCTCCAACGCCGAGGCTCCAAGTCCAGCATGCCTCCTACAACTTCCTGTAATAGAAGAAAGAGAGGTCACTCGTACTGAAATTGTACTGTATTGTAACCAGAAAAAAAAAAAACGAAAGAAAAAAGCCCAAGGAGATGCATGACGTGTAAGAGTCTCAAAACACCCGCTGACCTTGCCAAAGTAATGAGGGAACTTCTGTTCGTTTTCAATGACATGAGCAAAGCCCCCCTGGAGTCCAAAGTCTACGGCAAAGTATGGCAGACTCCGAGGAACCTGGGAAGGCAATAAAATAAAAATGAAAATTACCATTTCAAAAGGAACACAGAGGAGCAGAAGAAGAAAGTTGAAAGAAAAGTTGCACAGAAAACAACACAAGGCAGAGGGCAGAACAAAAACAGAGAGAAATACTAAGTAACCAGATTAAGAATGAATTAACTGCACAGAGTAAAAATTAACCTACAGCTTGCCGAATGCTTTTCGAAGAGAGGTCGACAACCTTCTTGTTCATGGCCCATTCCTCATCACACTCCATGATAGCTTTCTAAGAGAACACAGATTGTTTTTTAAAAACCACAATAGAAAGGCTATTTAAACCCCAAAGCAACCAATACACTCAATTAGACTGATGAGAGATAGGAGGTCCACACACCTTAAAATAGATAGGTGCCATATCTCCCAGCTCTTTGGGTAGTGGGATACACTCTAACACCATGTGCTGTCTCCTGCGGGGATTCATGTGCGTTTCCATGAACACACAGTCCAGCTCCTGGGCCTCGAACATCCGCACCAAAGTACGTCGGAACAGCTGAGGGCAGTAAAGTGGCACAGAGGTGAGCTCAGTTACACTTTATAGCAGCAATTTGGCTCCAATGATTTCTGCCACTGTTCTATAAATGCAGATAAAAGTTGTCCCTGGAGCAACAGTATCCCGAGCACTGATGGGCTAACCTGCATTTCTGACCATATATCCTCATCCATGCCGGTGGCAGAGCAGTGATGCTGGAGTGGACAGATGAGACAGTGGCCCTCTGTCATCGACACTCCTGCAGGCAGGCTTAGGTACACCTAAGAACAAGATCACAACACAGACACAAAATTTAGCAAAGCATGCATAAATCTATGAGGTTTAAACCTTCTCGACATTTCAAAAGTAATCACAGCCCACCTTTATCATCTATATTTCCAATTATACCTTGATGGACAACTCGAACGATTGAGGATCCAAGTATGCCAGCACAGATTCCTTTTACTTGTCCCATAACAGCCTGCGTTAACCAGCGCTTACCTTGCTTCCTATCGCCACTATAAGGTGTTTCTGGAGCTCTTTGCTGCTGAAACAGTGCTGGCATTTCTCCATGGAGGCAGCCAGCCTCCTACTCTCCCCGATGGCTTTGTTCCTCATCCTCTCCTCCTCCCTCCCCTCACCCTCCCGCTGCGCTGCGCTCGACACAAACATGTCGTCCAGCGTGTAGTTGTCGCCGTCCGTCTTCCCCATCATCTAGATTAGAGGAGAGCGATAAAGAGACAGAGACGGAGACAGAAACGGTGAGGGGGGCGTCTCTATACATTTTCTCTCATGTCTGATGTTGTTTTTTGTGTATTTTGCAGTTTGAAATTCCTGTTTCAGACTTTCAAACAAAAAGAGAAAACATACATTTTTAAAAACAGTAAAGCGATAGAAACTGTCATTATTTATTAATTAAGTCATTGCTGTAGTGTCAACTAAATGCACGCAGGTGTCGACTCTCTGTGCATTAACAGTATTCGTCAGGACGCTGACTCTAGTGTTTCTACGTCTGAGTCTTGTCACCATGGTGATCCAGCAACAGGTTGGAATCTGTGTGTATTTGAGAGAGCGAGAGTCAAGCGTCGCTCAAGTGTGTGTGTGTACATGATACGCTGTGTAGGAGTGAGTGTGTGAGAGTGAAAATTGGATTAGTTTTAGTGTGGGTGGGAATGCGTGTGTGTGTGTGTGTGTGTGCGTGTGTGTGTGTGTGTGTGTGTGTAGGAGTGAGTGTGAGGGCATAGAAGTGTGCAAAAGCACATACCGCATTAAGCCAAGAGCAGACAATTTTATTTTACTGCACACATGCCATCACGAGCACTCTCACACAGACTAATTAAGCATCATACGATAGCAATAAATCAACCAAACCATGCCGTCAGTCCTCACTATCACCGCTGATGTTTTATTTACGGATGCACTCCTGATGCAATTTAAATTATACATCGTGAATACAGCACGCTGCTGTAGCCACACGACATATCTGATGTTCAACCATAACGTTTCCAGAAAAATGTTAAAATGCACGGTGACGGTAAAGAAAACTAGGTTGTGTGTTCTTGATAAAACAGCATTAGAGCCACACAAAGCTGCATTCCTTTTGTTTTTGGATACCCATGCACTGCAGTCACTGTTTACATTATGAAATATGTGATTGTTGAAAATAAATAAATAAACTAGCATGCCATTTTTTGTGTGGGAATGTTAATCAATTAAATTTTTTTCACATACAAGATAAAACAATTAGTCATTTGTTGCATCAATGAAGGACGCTCTGTTTTGGTGGCATTTGTGTGTGTGTCATTCTTTCTGTCTGTAAGCCCGATAGCATGAAAAGTTTTAACTGAACTGTGGAGGAGTGAATTCATGTAACAATCCTTTAAAATCTGCCTTTCATCCATCAACGTCTTCAAGGTCAACTTAATGATTTATTGGTCAAAAATGGACAAAAAGCCTTAAAACTTATAAATATGAAGTGTGGTGTGTATTGTCAACAGTACAGAAAGTACCAAATAAAGATTTACAATGTTTCACATTTGACCTCTGACCTCTCCTTCAAGTTCAACAAATTGATCTGAAGCTCAAAGTGATAATAATGCTATACATTGCTATTTAAAACTGTGTTTTGTTCTGACATTGTTTGTATTGACAACACATGATATATGCGGATGTTCCATCCATCCATTCGCTTCCGCTTATCCTTTTCAGGGTCGCGGGGGGCGCTGGAGCCTATCCCAGCTGTCATAGGGCGAAAGGCAGGGTACAGCCTGGACAGGTCGCCAGTCTGTCGCAGGGCCAACACACAGGGACAGACAACCATTCACACTCACATTCACACCTAGTGACAATTTGGATTAATCAATTAACCTATCCCCACAAGCTGCATGTCTTTGGACGGTGGGAGGAAGCCGGAGTACCCGGAGGGAACCCACGCAAACACGGGGAGAACATGCAAACTCCACACAGAAAGACCCCGGCCTGATGGTGGAATTGAACTCAGGACCTTCTTGCTGTGCGGCAACAGTGCTAACCAGATGTTGCGGATGTTAAATATTAAATTACTTTGACTCTGACCTTATTTGACCTTGAAGAAGAGGTCAAACTTTCATAAAATATCTTTGAGCTTTAAAACTGTGCTTAAAATTCAGCTGTCTTTGTTTGTATTGGCAACACTCAGGAAATAATACGGATACTAAAAATCACATTATAGATCGCATCCAGACATCAGGCCACATTTGACTTCTTATTTCACTTTTAAATTTCACATCTGCTTTTCGTTTAAGCTGATCCCAAAATGTGGTATTTTTACTGCACTACAAACATCCTAAATTATGCTTAAAAAGAATAAAGACAACAAAATGAATGTATACAAAATAGAATACAATTCTCTTAAAAGTTGATGCTTCAAAAGAGGACAATAGGATGATCCAAACACAGCTATCTGATTTGAGCGAATTTGCGACTTGTTTAATTTTTATTTCTTTTATTTTTTTTCCAATTAACAAAACTATCTATCTCAAGACACCCGATCAAAGATATCAGGACCACAACAAAGGCCTCTCAAAGGTAAATTCAGGGTTATTTTGATGGCACTGTGGTGAGCAGCTGTTCAGTAGTTGGGGAGATATCGTGCTCTGGACCAAACAGTTGGCTGAACAGACACGCAGCCAGATGGGCCGCCTGAGATGACCATTTCAGCCGTACCATCTGCATACAAAAACCCACATTTACAAACAAGCACCTATGCTTTTTGGAAAATGTAACCAACACGTTTGAAGTCATACGACTGGCTTGGTGAGAGTTGGAGGGATAAGAGAGGAAGACGGAGAAGAGTTAAATAAAAGTGAGAAAAACACGGACAAGCGGATAAAAGGCTTAGACGGATAATTATAGATAAAACAGAAAAGATAAGAAGGAAGGGCCGAAGAGGGAAGCAGAGTGCGATATCAAGAGAGAATAGAGAGTTTGTCTTTCTCTTTGTAAATCATCAATCTATAGCTGTGATTAGCAGTATTTATAGAAGTCCTGCCATGGTAACTGTAGATGTATTTTTAGTGTCACTCTTTGTAGGTGCAGAACGTGTCTGTGCGTGTGAGATTTTAGACACACATATGTGTAGTGAATATATAAGTGAGGCTGAGTGACTGAGACAGCAAGAGAACGTAAACGAGTAAGAAAGGCAGAGACGAGGAAAAATGTGGACAGAGCTTAAGTGTGTGTTGTTTTTTTTTAAATTTCCATAGCAACTCCTCCATCCTTTTGTTTATTAACGCTTTGCTCTCTCTCGCACACACACATACACACACTCTATGACTTCTGCACAGGTTCTTATCATTTTCCAACCTGCACCAAGAGAAGAAGCAAACAGCTAAAAAAACATGAGAAGGAGGGAAGAGGAAAATGTGTCTTGGCTCATGATAAAGTGCGGGCTGCAAAGCTGCTGATAGACTGACACACGCACCGCAACCTGTCAGAACTCATCTTCTGCTGTGTGTCTATTTCAACCACACAGTGGCTGAGAGTCTCACAGAGACAGCTAGTAGTGGAGAGAAACCAATAATGACATCGAACCAAACACTGATGTGACGGTGCAAATTTTAAATGCTGCCGTTTTCCTCAGAGAAGTGTGACAGAAAAAAAGGGGGGTAATCTTTCACATTAACATGCATACATAGTTTGTTTTGCCATATTTTGTGTCCACTATCTTCAAGTTTGTGTGTTGCTGATCTTACCTGCTGCCAGGGATATAAGCAGACCAAAACCAATATGCCCTGCATTTGTCAAGGTTCATTGATTGCTTACATTTTTTCAGTGTATGAACCCAGTCTGAAATGGGAGAAGAACAAAACCCATCCCTGACAGCATGTATGAACTCAAAGAACTCAGACTCAAAGAAGCAGCTTTCGACTACTCCCTTTATTTCCAAAGGGAGTAGCCAGAGCAGTCGGACTGGCACAGATTTTACAGCAGATTCACCTCCTGATGCAAACCTGCCATTTATCCAGGTTTGAGACCAGCTTCTGGCAGCACACCGTATCTGCTCCTTAACTTAACTCGAACCAGAGATCTTTTCCATGTATCCACTACAATGTGACTCAAGACCAGCTCCCAAGATTGAAACCAGCTTTTGTTCGTTTGGATCCACTATGTCCTTAATTAATATAAAAACCTACTTTTGCCTCCTTTATTTCTGTTTCCTAGATAAAATATAAAATAATATAGTGGCAGGGATACAGCACACTGCTTAGCTGTTGTTTCAGGACTGTGGACAGGAGCCCTGTTTGTTCGCAAACATGAGGAAATTTAAATTAAAAACAAAACAAAGAAAAGGTGTAAAAGATGCGCCTCATTGGTCCTGCAGAGATAAAACCTGGTTGAGGTTTTCATTAATTTTTTTAATCAACTAATTTTTTGCTGTCCTGAGTAACAAAGCAAATACAATGTCGAGAAGACACTGACATGAATATTACGCACTGCAGAACAAAGCTCCAAGGTGAAAGTTTCCAGTCTTTTGGAGATGCAGTGGCTGCATATTACCAGATGTGCGCCCTGATCAGTTGATACTACAATCAGCTGATTTGAGTTTGTAGAAAATGGTGGAAATATACAAGTTCTGAGGAGTGGGGAAATGGACATTACCTTTATTTTTAATTGCGTAGAAGGACAAGAGTGAAACGGTAAAGCGCAATCTGCATCCAGGACAGGAAAAAATTGCATTTACTGCTAACACAACATACGGTCTTTGAAAGCATCTGCACAAACAACATGCTAACACAAAGTTAACAAGGTATCCAGAGCAATGTTAAGCCTGAGTGCATGCCAACCCCATCCTCACAGCCTGAACCTGATCAGGCTTTTAGCACCGTAGCCTCCATTTTTCCCTACAAATGGTTCTACAGTACAACAGCAGTAGCGATCGCTTCAAAGTCTCTTTGGGCTGATTTTTAGCTTTTCTTTGTGTTAGTCGGCTTGTGTTCAAACCTAAACACTAAAAAAAAAAGATCTTGTGTTTGTCGTCATTAGAAAAGAGATTATACGATTTATATTGTAAATAAATAAGCATTTCAGAAGTTAAATAAAGATATTGCACGATTATGGTGAAATGTCTTCTTACCTTGGCAGCCATACGAGAGTAAAGGGCATTCTGATCCTGTGCAGAGCTCATCTTCTCCCTTCTCACCATCTCCTTTAGACCGACATTGTCATCATCTTGGAAGTAACGGACACGCTCACCGTCAACATGCGTCTCGATCTGAAACGAGACAGAAAGACAGAAGTATGAAAGAGAAGCAAAGAGAGACAAGATTTTTTTGAAATCACTGGAAATTGGGTGTGATGTTTAAAATAAGCACTCCCAGAAGATTAAAGTCTATTCAAAACATCTGAAATCATATATTTGACAGGAGGTGCGAGACAGTGGACAGAAAAAAAGAATCAGGAAGAATAAAGGAGACTAGACTGCTCTATAAATTTATAATGACCATAAACTGAGGGCTTTGTTTCTTGCATACAAGTTTCAGCTCAGAGGAAGGTGCTTGTTGTCTTTTCACACACGATGAATATCACAAAAAAAAGAAGTCAAATAGCTGGATACAAGCCTCTTATTAGCTCCCCATCTCTCAACACCTCTGTTGCATCAATGCCCAGGACCCTCTCAGTCTTTTTTTTTTCTTCCAAGCATTGGCAAGCTGATACAACGAATAGATTATTTATCTAATTTCTTGCATTACATAATTTTTCTTTCCTTACCTGTTTCTTCTTTCGCCGTCCTCCGTGCGGTTCCTGAGGTCCAGATGGGGCATTGACAGGCCAGGCCCGACCTGACTCGTCTGTTCTGAACAGCAGGATTTCCCGGTCTTCACTGGTCCCATCTGAGGCCTGAAACAAATCAAGTGGGTAATTTTAAGGTCTATTTAATTCTGTAAATACACAAAACTATGTCTGTGCAGGCACTCAACCTTTAACCATTCAACAACCACAAACTGTAACAAGAAACAATTTTGATGATATTTTAAAAAAGAAAACTGTTTGAAATGTACTAGCAAGGCGACGTTTTCAGTCTCATCACTCAGATCACTGCAAAGGAGGAGGATGGATCTAATGTTTGTGGATCTGTCAGATTTCACAGGCTGTCGAGACAGAGGAAGCAGCTGAGTTTCAACTAATAATCTGGGCTCCTTCAGAATAAAAAATACATCTTACTTGCAGTGAAATTTTAAATGGCTTGAAAGGGCTGGACTTGAGCTTTCATATCATTCTGAATAAAACACAGGACTAACATCTCCATATTTTACGTATACTCTCCTAATCTTTACTTTGCTTTGGTGAGAGTTATCAGTTTGATTCGATCAATACAGAAGGAAAGACGTGTGTAACTGCAGTTTAATTAAAGTTTTAAAGTTTTGACAGGCAGACGGGAAAGAAGAACAAAGAAGATGAGAGGACGCCACATGAAAATGAAAACTGGGTGGTCAGGGTGGGGATACATGGCGATATTGCATCATTTTATCAACAGAGGCACACAAAATACAGATACTTTATCAAATACATTAAAATACTCTGGGACTACTATGAACAACAGGGCTGGTCTCATGCACGCAAATCCTGCAGTAACATGAGATGAGCAAACTTACATCTCAACAAAAAAACCATCCAACACTGGGCGCACCAAGCTTGACAAAGCTACTTCCTATTTCAGAGCATCCAATGCCTCAGTCACGTGGGTCAAAATAAGACAGCATCTTCTTTGCATCTACCGATTGGAACATGTGGTGACAAAAGCTTCTTTTCAACTAGCACCTACTCAGCTTGGCTCTACTCGGTTTTTAGGATTTTCCGATCAGAAACAGATTGTTAGCTTGAACCCATTCGATCACGTATCACAGCGATCGCAGACCGACTGTCTCGAAGCAACATTTATGGCAGGTTTCAGTCACAGTGTTGGTATACTTGACAATTTCATTTCAAGAGTAGGATAACTTTATCTTATTGAATTAAAAGATATGACAAAGTTTAACTTTAAGGAGATAATTTCCAGTTGAAAAATGTGATAAATCACAATATCTGTTATTGCAAAACTCAGCATCTCACAAAATGTCAAAAATTGCAATAATCTTATATGAGCAGTGAAGTATTGTGTAATATTCTACTGTGGTGTGCCTGGTGATTCCCATCTCTATGGGTGAGAAGACAAAAATCTAAATAATAGAAGAGAATATTTCCTCCACGTTAGTCACTATAGTACGGCCTTAAGTCTCCACACATTGCAAAAAAAACCACTAAATACAAGCCAGACATTCAAAAAGAGTCAAAACACTGAACACTGAAAAGAAGCCAACTGCCTTCTATAACAACACAAACTGGAAGGATCTCAAATGAGTGCAAATCAAAACCACTTCATCTTTACAGTGCTGAAGTACCTCTCGGCTGATAAGTGCACTAAAACCTAAGAATTATTACATTTTCCCTGAACCCTTACCAGGTATTTCATTCTAGTCCTTTCACTTGGACAGGGAAGCCTTTCTTGGGAATAAATCTGGCCTAACCTACAAATAATGATCTACAGATTATAGGAATAATCACACTGTTTTTCATGTCTTTATAAAGTTGTTGAGCGTCTGCTCATCTAAGAAATATGCAACCATTTGTCTGGGTATCCAGCTGCGTGTGAAGCCAGAAAAGACATTAGTAAGACAGTAAGTAGAGAAGAAGCAGTGCCCTGACGTTAGAGGACTGAATTGTCTGCGCTATGGACACAGACATGGTAGCACATGCATCCGGCCCCTTTCACTTGGCCCCACTGGTGTTCTCTTATTTCAAACATATACACATACATACATCATGCACACTTATCCTGACCTCTGATAGGAGAGTGCGTCAGCACACTACAAGACATTTGTGTCTCATTAGGAATCTGGTGAAGCGGCTGAACAGGAGCAGTTTCCAGACAGCGCGACGTAAGAGCTGAACAGAAACACGACTTCAAACAAATAAATTATTTTTACAAGCAGTCCCCCATGACAGCAGAGTTCACTTACATCTGAAGGTGTGTGTGTGTGTGTGTGTGTGTGTGTGTGTGTGTGTGTGTGTGTGTGTGTGTGTGTGTGTGTGTGTGTGTGTTATATACACAGGACACGTTTAGTCCTGTATATATCAGCCCTTTCACCCTTTCAGATACAGGATGTGTAACAGTGCTGGCCTTATCACTTTTGCTAAAATGCTGTTATTCTATCATTTAGAAACAGGTCACTGTTACATTGTTGTTCTTCATGCTTTCATTTAGATATACTAACAAGTGAGAAAGCCACGGTGAGTGTGCAACATTGGGTGCTGGATATAAATATGTGAGAATGCTGCTAAAAACAGACATCCGGCTCAAAACTTCTCTAAGGAAGTCATTCTGAGCCTCCTTTGCATCTTTCCACAGCTGCATGGCTCATTCCTGCTTCTAACACTTCCTTTAGTTTCTGCAAAGCCTGTCTGCATAGTCTTGCAGATTTCAAAACAAAATTTCTGGATGTTTTTTTTTTTAGGGGGGTGGGGTGGGGAGGTGGGGGTTCCTCCATTCCCTTGGAGGTCATAATCTTACACATATCTATGCATTAATAGATGTGGATTAGTCTTATGTCACACTAAAAGTGATACGTAAATGTTTTTAGGTCTGACCCACTAAGGCTGCTGTCATAACACAAAAATTGAGTGACTCGGATGTGAAGCTGACATGGTCAGACTTCTGTGAGCTGGAAGGTGTCTTTAGGGACAGTTTCTAAAGCTGAGAATAAAGAAACGTACAAAAACACGTTTTCCTTTTTGTGAAAAATAAAAATGTTTTGTTCTCGGTCTTGTTCGACCATCTTTGTGTCATTTAGGAATGCTACACGGCTTTTCGCACGAAAAGCAAACCGCATTGAGAACAACCCTGTAACCAACCGCACAGCTTCATGGTCATCTTGTGTTATTGAGAGGTGTTTTTAATATTCTGTCTCCCTTTTCAATAACTAGTTAGATAAAGTTAGATGGTGACTTTGTAAAGTATCTACAGACCTGGTTTGATTTGGCTGCTTCTTGTAGCTTCTTCCTGGCAGCATGTTTCTCTTTGGCTTTATGAGCTGCTTCCAGTTGTGATTTCAGCTTCTCAATGACGGCCTAAATCACACACAGACACACACACAAAAACAGAAATTTAGTTATAAAACAAAGAACACAATGTTCATATATAACATAAGTTTAAAGCTTTAGAGAAAACTTGACCAAGACAGGAGACCTTGACCAATCAAAGATCCTTTCAGACCTGATCAGGTGAGTATAAACAAGAGAAGGAAGTCCCCACAGTTTAGTAAGATTTCCTAATAAAGCGGGAGGTGAGTGTAGTGCACTGATACCTTCATTAAAGCCAAGTGTGTGACTGTGAACTGCACTTATGGAACACAGGTGTGCAAACAGACATAGTTTGATTGCTTTATCATGTAGGGAGGTGATTATAGCCAGGATGGTAACACTGTAACAGGCAGCTCTGACACGCACCAGAAGAAATCCCATAGCACTCTTAGAATCGACACAGGAAAACAGACAGAGGAAGGCTCGAGTGCGCGGATCAATGAATGCTATAAATTAACAGATCCCCTGATGTGCTGTTAAATCCATGCAAAGATGAGAGTTGAAGCATATGTGCCGAGGAAAGGCAAATCAGTATCAACTCTCCCACAAAGCCAAACAACTTAACTCTGGATTTCACAACAAATATGAACTTTAGAGGATTTTTCACATCAACAAATTCTGACTTATTCATGTAGTCATATCCATGTGTGTTTATATGCTATTGATCATCTGAGACTATTGTACTATACAAGCGATCAATCAAACTGAATACTGAATTGCCACAATACCAGAGGATTTTTCAACTCTGTGTCAAAACGGGAGGTTGCATTAAACCGGACAATGTTCCGTTATGAATGATGTTTGTAGCATACAAGTAACTAGACTGAGGTATGTCTTTTAGAACAAGTCAGTTCTAAAGGCGTTTCTGTATCCATCGATCCATCTGCTGCCACTAATCCAGGTCCAGGTGTTGGGGCAGCAGTCTAAGAAGTCTCTAAGCTCTAACAGGCATCGTTCTCCAGCTGTTCTAGGAAGACATTCCCAGGCCAGCCGTGACTCACGTTCTCCCCAGTGCTTCCCCTCGTTCTGCTCCAGGGCCTCTCCCAGTTGGTCTGAAACACTGCTGCTTTGGAGGAAATTAATGCCCGAGTTAAAACAGGTTGACAGAAGGTCAGCAGTAATAAATAACTGCCTCACCGTATTGCCCATGATCTCTGCCTTTATTAGCTTGGACCCTAGTTTGTTCAGCTCCTCCTCTGACAACAGTGGAACCTCTTCCTCCTCCTCTTCTTCTTCTTCCTCGCCTTCGCTCTCAGCCCTAGGTAAACACACAGAGGAGAGACTGAAGGGTGCACTAAAACAAAGAGGTGAAAAGGAAAATTTAAAACATGTCACCGATTTACTATATGTCAAATTCATAACTCTAAATAGAAACCTGCAAAATTAAATTGTCCATTAAGTTTAAAAAATAAAAATTCACTTGAACTGTTTTCCTCTTTTCCTTTAGACTTTTCCGTACTCCGCCTTCCGAACGGCCGCTTTCAAAGACACAATGATGCCACCCTGATAAGAGGCTTTATCTTCTAATTGGAAACGTATTTGTGAAGGTTTTAATTTTAACCATATAGTTGTTTGCTTCTGTGTTTATGTGTTATGAATCATTTGAGTCTTTGAGCCCTCCAGAGATCATTACATCCTTGCCTTGAAGGATTAGCTCTGCAGCCTGGGAAGCGTCGTTCTAGGCTATTACACTTCTCACAGCATCATTTCATGCTGCTGCCACACTGTAGACTCATTTCATGCTGCAGGGGTTCTGAGTGCCGTTTTACCCAAACAACTCAGCTTAATGAGGCAAAACAGAACAACTGTGAAGCCTTTACATAGCACTGATACTCCAACATCTGGCCTACAACAAAGGACCATGTTGGACTTGAAGTTACTGCAGTTATTTTTAAATTCTTCATAATGTTTGTCTCACAAATTGCAAAATAAATTAAACATTTCGGTGTTAGAAACGCAAGGTTATGCTGCAAACCCTGTTCTAAAAAGGTTTTGTCTGAGATTAGTATGTATGTATGTATAATACAGAGGCGAATAAGAGAGACGGAAATTCTTTTTTTTTTTTTTAAAAAAGAAGACTTGCAGGGGGCATGGTGGAATTAGCTAAACTGCATCAGTCTGACTACTGGGAAACGCTGTGTGAAGGAGCTCATAACAAATGCTTTCACAAAGTGACTGATGTCCGACACCAGAAACATGGAGCAAACAGCATTGTGGCAGAAACTCCGCTGCAGGGGCCATTTACAGTTTTAGATACAGCAAAAAAACAAACAAACAAAAAACAGCATAGATAAAAGACAACTGGCTAAGCTTAGAGCTTATTTCCGTCTGTCTGTTCATATGCAACAGTGGTTAAGATATTATTAGGTAAGCTAGCATGTAGGAGAGAAAAATATGAGAATGTTTATAAATTGCACCTATTGCAGCTTTATGCAGTTTAACATCATAGAAAGTTTTGGTTTTTAGGCATTAAAATAATTTAAAAAAAACTTTAAACCTTGGTGGTGCAGCAGGTTGAGGAACAGTTACAGTCTTCTCAGCATCTCTCTTGTTTTCCTGTTGTGGTTTATCAGAGGTGTCAGATTCACAGGCAGGACTGCTGCTCTTCTTCCAGGCTGGAGCTCTGCTGGAGTCTTCATCATCAGAGCTGGGTTTCAGGAACCCTTTGGATGGTCGTGCAGGAGGAGGAAGACGCTGAGGAGCTGGAGAGGAACGAACTAAAGATTAGGGACGTGCACAAATAGTTGACAAGATGACTAATCGTCTCTTCTGTCACTAGTCGGTACCAAACGTACCAGTCGCAGACTAATTGCAATCATTGTAACTGATGCCCAATGATGGTAAATAGTAGTGTCCTAAATGTTATGTAGCCATGTGCCGCCAGATGAAGCATCGTTGCTGAGAAACTTCATAAATTTGTTAATCTTGGGCTGACATTTTTATTGACATTATTATTGTTAATTTTTAAAGGCGAAAGAATGAGATCACAGACACAAGTGTGGAAAATGAGCTTTCGTCGAAGGGTGGATGGACTTTAGCATAGGAGGAGGAGTTCACTCGTTCAGGAGGGGGTTTAGAGTGGAGCTGCTGCTTATCCACATTGAAAGAAGCAACGTTAAGGTGTTTTGGTGTTTTCTCACACAGGATTAAAAACAAGACGGCCACCTCCTTTTGACTAAGGAGGAAATAAAAGGAAAAAAAAAACAACCAAAAAACAAAAATTGATTACCCAGTGATTGCATCGTCAAGTGACCGATCGCAAGCAGTTATAATGGCCAAGTAGTCACTCAGAGGCAGCACCCTCAGCCTCTGGCGATCACTTTTGATTGTATAGGTTGCCTGGTGGGAGGAAACCTGCCTCCGAAAAAAATCGCGGTCCGACTCAGACTGACTGCAATCACTCTCAGCGAAGGTCTGCAGATCTGCAATACGTCTCTTTGCAAGAGCTGTACCAATGTACCTGCACATGTGATGTGACAATAAAAGTGATTTGATTTGATTTGATTTGAAGAGGTGACTTGACTCAAATGGGTGCCAACTGTATGACTCTGGTTATAATCCCATATTTATATGGGATTTATATTCCATATTTATACACCATATATGCCATTTTGTGGTTAAATGTGATTCTACAGCAACTACATCAGAATTTGTGGAGGAATTTCTGAATTTCTAATTCAAATCTATGAGGTTCTGGCTGGACTCTGCATGTGAATTTCTGTTTGTAGATGCCAACAGATTTGCATTTTTTTCCACCGTCTACCTTGTAAACTGACAGCAGACTGTCTTATCACAGTTTTAACACCATCTCGATGCACTCAAGTTGCTTTGTAAACATCAGCTGACTGCGAGTGGTCGCAGACATGTTCACCGTCTTCAAAGCAAAGTGAATAAGATCACAAATTAATAGTGCATGGTCACAATTCTTATGGCCATGTCATGATCTCCAATTGCTGTTTTTCCTATAATGACTGTAGCATTATGTAGCAAATGTTCCCTAAATGGGATTAATATATTGATGCTTCTTTGTACATATAAGAAAAGGTCTTGACGCAAACTCACTTTCACCACTGTCATCATCTTCTGAGGGTTTGAGGAAGCGGCCTTGCAATGATCCAAGCGTAAGGGAGTGTTGATTCCAGCTTTGCCCAGAAGATGATGCTGCTGCATCGGTCCTACCTTTTTCGCTTCCTCCATCCCTACACCTATCCCCATCTTTCTCTCTGCCTGCATCTCTGCCTCGTCCTCTATCCCTGTCCCTCTCTCCTTCTCTGCCTCTATTCCTGTTCCTTTCTCTATCCTTTTCATTTTCTCTATACCTGTCTCCATCTCGACCTCGCTCCTCCTCTCTTCCTCTATACCCTCCCCTTCCACCGTGGTATCTTTCTCGGCTTTCCGATGACGATTCCTTGTCCTTTTCATTTTTTCTCCACCGATCTCTGTCTTCCCCGTCCTCATCCTTTCTCTTCCACCTCTCCCTGTACTCCTCTTCTCCTTTCCTCCACCCGCCTCTGCTTGTGCCATCTCCTTCTCTTCTCTTCTGGTCGTACATAGCTTCTTCAGCCTCATCAAGTCTCTGCTGAAATTCTTCCATTGACTATAAAAGGACAGAAATACAAAACACCACAAGGCAAATGTTCTCAGTTCAGATCTTCAGATCACATACCTGAACTTTACTCTGGACCTAAGGCACATAAAACAAAAAGTGGCAGGAAACAATAGAGTGAATGCATAATGTATCTGGTGTATAATTTCCAGCAGGCTACTCTGATGTGTAAAAATTTTGCTGGCCTCAGATGCAGGTGACTCTGAAGGTATTTTTACTGCAGTTCAACATGAATCAGGCAAAAAAAAGCAGCAGCTTTCTGGCTTCCTGACTAAGCTGAAAGTCAGCTGCGTTACTATAACAAACAAGAGCTGCGCTGCTGACAAAGTTTTGACAAAGGAAACAGAAGTCATGCACACAGAAAAACACACACGCTCTATTCACACAATGTTCTGACAGTGAATTTTTTCTGCGCTGATAAATAGATGCACAAACGCTGAAACTGCTGAAAGTGACACAACACAAAGGACACCAGGCACTGTGTGTGTGTATGTGTGTGTGTGTGTGTGTGTGTGTGTGTGATGTCAAACAGCAAAGACACAGATTAATAATAGAACAAGGTGTCCAAGGTGTCTCTTTCCTCCCACAGTAGTGAGGGAATATGTGTGCATAAATCCTCGTCTTCTAAGTGCATTTGCTTTGACAGTTAAGCCTTTCTTACTAAGATAAACGTGAACGTCAGTCGATGTTTTTATGTCCAAATCTCAATTGTTATGCAGCGTCATCATCCGTTACGTGCACATGTATGTGTGCGAATGTGTCAGAGCAGCAAGAGTTAATTCTCACTCCGTATCTCTCAGCCACCACATCACTGAGGCTGCGCTGTTCCCTCTCTGCCTGCTCCTTCATCCTCTGGTAGCTTTTCCTCAGCCAGCTCAGACCACCATCATTCACTACTGGGCCTGTAGGCATACACAGGGAAAACACATACAGTTAGGTTTTTGAATAACACATTTATTTTAATAAACATATTTTTTTTTACATTTTGCCTCTGTATGCCAGAGGCAAAATTAAATCAAACAACCAAGGCTGTGATTTAAGTGCAGGCTCTCTGCTTTAATTCAAAGGGTTTTACAAAATTTTTTACAAATCGGTTTTGGAACTGCAGTCATTTTTATACACAGTCCCCACATTTTCAAAGGCTCAGAATCATTAGGACAAATAACTGACAGCAGTTTCATGGCGAGGCTTCTACCCTCTTTGTTTCATGGCAAATTACACAGATGAAAGATTTGGAGCTGATGCAAAATGCTACAAAAACGACACAAACAAGCAGCAGCTGAAGGTGACTGCAGTAAAGAACAGGCGGAGCATCTCAAGGGTGGAAACACACGTTTGGTGAAGCCTACGGGGTCTAGACTTCACATGGTCACTGGGTGCAAAGGATTTTCCTTCAAAAAATTATCCTGATATTTAAAAGTAAGCTAGTCTGTCATTTTAAGCAGTTCAATCATATCTTGATTGTGAATTTTAACATCACTGTGGTGGGGTACAGATGCAAAACTACAAAAAAGGAAACAGGAAAAACTGTAAAATATAAATTTCATTTAAAAGTTACAAATGTATGCACACCTTCACATTTTCTTAAGATGGGCCGATTTGGAGTATTTGCTGGGCTGATTCTAGCCCCCAGGCCTTATGTTTGGCAACCCTGTACCAGACATTAACTAGCATTATCTACATTAAACTCTACAGTAGATCCAGGTGATCTTTCACTAGTGGACTTTTTGCACACACCATCATAGAAACAAAAGAAAACAAAACCAAAAACAAACACCTAATCCCAGGTACAAAGAAAAAAAATCCACAAAAAGCGAGTGAACAAAATAAGAAAGCCAGGCTGAGGCAAAAAGAAGAAGAGTAATAGAGACGAACCCAAGGTCAGGATTAGGGAGGTGGGAAAAAACTAGATAAACACATTTCTCAAATCTATGGGAAGTTAATGTTCCTTCCAACTTCCCAGAGCAATACGACATGACGAATGCACCGACCAAAGCCAAATGTCTCTCTGGTCAAGGTCAGCAATGAGCATTTTATTTCTTTGTGTTTGGGAGCACACCACTGCTTAAATATCTGCTTCAAAGCTGAAGAGAGGAGAGCAAAAAGCTAAAACTCTGTCGTCCTTAAAGCACGCTGTACAAATATAAGACTACAGTCTTTTTTCTGTCTATCTCTTTTAAAAAAGTGTGGAGAAATGAGGTGAACAACATTCCTCAACCACACTAAATTTGAATTAAACATGAATACTCCATGTATTTGTTTTTGTTTCATCCTATTTTGCTTTGCTTTCAATTCAAGTTTACAAGAGGCTATGCGAGCTCTCAAGGGAAGCTTCACTTATGGTATAGAGATCACAGACACGTGCGTACATATCTGAATTTGCTTGTCAGCTTAACGCAGCTCTCTCACTTTCTTTTCCCAAATCCCCGACTCAGAAGCCTTGCTTTTCTCTTCCTCTCCTGTCACACGGCCAATTTTGTTTTCTGTCTACAAACATGCTTTTTATTATTTTCTTTTTATCTTATTCTACCTTCTTCTGCACGTTCAGAACACCAGCAAAGTCTCTGGCTAATTAAAAAACAAAAACAAACACATAAAAAACCCTCCCAAAAAACAATACAAACTTACAGAAACTCCCTTGAGTAGGACTGTGGCTCAAAGAAATCAGTCTTTTTCAATGTGGGCAGGTTCAGGGTGAAATATAAATGTGGGGTTGAGAGGGTCACTATTTGTAATAGTAGGAATGTTCCTCTGAGGCCTCAGATTGTAAGAGTATCCAAATAAAATATCCATCAATTAAAAGGCATGCAGGAAGGGAAGATGTTAAAGCCCCCGCATAGTATTTTACAAATCATTTAGTACATTTATTTACAATACTCGAAAGCAGTATGTACAAGATCTTTCCTAAATCAAGATAGTTGCTTCAAAGGATGAGAATTAAATATAGAACGCAACTTCCAAGCCAACATGAACAAAGGTCCTTAAAGTACATAAAAAGAGAAGCTGAGAAAACACAGGAAAAAAAGTGTGATATAACCTCAAAGATAACACTACCAAGTAGGCCCAGTTTTAAAATCAATGTACATTTAAGGGACTTATTTTAAAGCCAACATTTCAAATACCAATTTGAGCGAATGGGCAGTATAGTAAACCACGGATTTGTCAAATGTGTCATTTACTTGAGCTGAAGCCCAGCAGAAGGGAGAAGGATGGAAGAGAAAACATGACAATCAAGGTCACATGAGCAAGAGAAGACAGAAAACGGGACAAACAGGTAGAACATCTGAGTAGCACACTATTTTCAGTGTTAGGTTATGTACAGTGTATAAGCTGCTCTGCACTTCAATCTAAACCAATATAACTAATGGATATTCATGTTCGCTGATGATAAAGTGAAACAAACAAATACAATTAAGAATCAAATTATATTCTGAGGAGATGAGACAAAAACCCTCAAAGAATAGTTTACATTTCGCAATCATAAAACTGGAAAACTCTCAATAGAGTCTAGTATGTTACCTTTTTTTGCTGCAGAATCAGTCATCTCCTCTGGGGGCAGTCCAGTTCCTCCATCTTTCCAGTATGGGTTTAGCTCTAATTTGTGCAAACCAGCCTAAGAATTATAAACACACACAAAAGAACATCTTATATTCATTTAAATAATCCAACAGGAGCACAAAAACAGTAAGCGGTGACAAACGAACGTCTCACTCACACTGTTTGGGTGAGAGGTTCGACCCAAGCTGCAGAGAAACAATTTGGACATAAACGATCTCTTTAACTTTCTTAACAGCAGTTCATCAAAGCTACTTCTTACTTGACTGGCATCCTGTTAGGAATCCAAGGACGTGCTGTGCTGAGCAGTTCTCATAATTCGCTGTAGGTTTTCTGTTACACCCTTAAAACAATTAATGTGATATGTACATTAAACTGTAGCTATGCCACGCACCACCAACAGTTAATGCTCAACCTGTGAGAGACTCTGCAGTGAATATTTTGCAGTTATAAAGAAAGCTACACTTTCATCACACGACCCAGCTCCCAGTAGTTATGACAAAGCAAGCAAATACTAGAAGGTTCGTTTTAATTTGATGATTCAGAAACTGCTCTTCTTGCATGGTATGCTGAAAAGATTATTATGATGCGATGCATTTGGGTAGTGTCACTCTGCAGCCAGAAACTAAGTGGGGGAAAAAAAACAACACACACAAACCTGTTCAATGGCCTGAGCCTTGGCTCTCTCTTCCTCTTTCTGACGTTCTTTCTCAGCCCTTCTATCAGCAGTGGATGTAGTCTTCATTGCCAGGAAGTCAAAAGTCATCCATTCATCTCTCTGCGGGGTGAAGAAAGACGGTGGAGAGTTAAACGAGGAAAATACACAACTTAACACATAACACGTTTCCTCTCAAACAAACAAAGAAGTGAAAAACTCCAAAAACATTTTCAAATTTGCTACTTTACGGAAGTAATTAATGAGTATGAGTACGGTTTAAGAGCAAACAAAGCTTGTGTGCACGTGTAAATGCTTTCATATCTCTATAGACAGCATCGCCTCTTATAATGAAAAATGAAAAAGAAAAGGTCATTATCATTCAGGAAACCTGATTCTACAATTAAAAATACCTTGAAAAATTACTTTCTGAGTCTAATAATTATTTAGTAAAGAAAGACTTGTTGAGGAAGTGACCTGGACATTCTGTGTTGGGCTGACATCGCTCTCTGAAGGTTTGGACTCACTGGGAACTTGCCAGGCTTTAGTCTGTGTCTGAGGCTGAAGCTCAACCCACTCATCTTCAGAGTCCTGACACAGAGTCAGAGGAAATAAAAGGAAAAGAGAATAAGACAGGAAATGATAACAAAGAAGGGAAGCAATAAAAAAAAAAAAAAAAAAATCAATCAAAGAGTGACAAGAGCTGCAGTCTTCTCAATCAATAGCATTGCCACTTGACAAGGATGTCACTTTATAACAAAATAAACATGCTTTGATCATTCAGAAATGTTACAATATGAAATCTCCAACTGCAAAGCTCAATAATTGCTCATATATCAGATATCAGCTTTAAATCGAGGATAAATCTTCAGGATTTAACTTGAGGCCACGCTTAAAGGAATCCTGCAGTAAATGACTCTGTAATCTACCTGTGAGCTGTCACTTGAGCCATCTCCTGTTTCTGCCGCCTTCTTCTCTTTCTTGGCCTTCTTCTTCTTCTCTTTTTTCTTTTTTGATTTCTTCTCTTTCTTCTTTTTGCTCTTGACAGAACCCTCCTGCAGCAGATGCAGAGGGAATGATTATTTTCTCTTAACTTCACCTTAAGTTTGTTAGATAACCATAATTTGTCAAAAATGCACACGGAATCATTTCTCAATCATAAAAGATATGCACGTGTGCTTTTCCCCAGGTTAAAGTTCTCCAATAAAGAACAAACACAGGAATGTGTCTCCAACAGTGATCGACATCCATTTCCAAAATGAAATGAATAAAGAACTAAATAAATACACTATGAAATAATAAATCGTCTAATTAATTAACCAAAATTGAAAATAGATAAATAATTGTATAAAATGTGTCATTAATTACACCTTCAATAGAAAATGAATTATTTATCAAATGCATAATTAATCAAATGTACTGATTAATTGTATTTAAAAACATATTTACCTATTTAATTATTTCATGACGTAAACTGCTCCAACACAGAAAAGTGCACACAAATCAATTACACAAACCTACTGTAAAACTTAAGAAATGATTATACTGCAAAGATTTCCCCAGTGTACCAGCAGCCATTACTTCAAGGAAATAATAAAAGTTTTATTTTGTTGTAATATAAGTATTAAATTAAGTATTAAATGTATTAAAAGTATTAAATCTGTAATATAAGTCTTAAAAATACATATTTTTACGAGCCCAGTCATATTTGAGCAAACGCAGTAAGGATGGTTCATGCAACTATCTAAAGGCAAGGTCTGCACGAGTATAAATGTTCCATCTTACGTCTTCTATCTGCTGCAGCCTCTCGTTGACCTCAGGGAGCATCCAAGTGTCCTCCCCTCTCTGCCTTTTCAGCTCCTTCCTCCTCTGTTCCTTGTCATACTGCTGCTTGGCCTGGATGACAAAATGGAAATAAACACTTCAAAAGTTTTACTAGCATTTGGATTGTGACATATATTTATTAGACACTTTATTAGGTACACCAGGGGGTTGGGAAGCGCATCTGTAACCGGAAGGTCCCCGGTTCGATCCCTGGGCTCTCTGTCCTGGTCGTTGTGTCCTTGGGAAAGACACTTTACCCTACTGCCTACTGGTGTTGGCCAGAGGGGCCGATGGTGCGATATGGCAGCCTCGCTTCTGTCAGTCTGCCCCAGGGCAGCTGTGGCTACAACCGTAGCTTGCCTCCACCAGTGTGTGAATGTGAGAGTGAATGAATAGTGGCATTGTAAAGTGCTTTGGGTGCCTTGAAAAGCGCTATATAAATGCAATCCATTATTATTATTATTGGAAGAGTAAGTCAAATAACCACACGTTACAACCAAGGTATGCAAAAGAGCATTTCTGAAGCCACAACACATTGAACCTTGAGGCTACAGTGGCAGAAGAGCACACTGGGTGTCACTCTAACTAAAAACAAGAAACTGAGGCTGCAGTTCACAAGCTCACCAAAATTGGACATCAGAAGTTTGTAAACCGTCTCCTAATCTGCTGAGTCTTGATTCTTGCCATAACAGAAGAGAATATGGTAAGAATTTGGTGGAAACAACATGGGAGCATAGATCCATCCTGCCTTGTATCACCAGTTCAGGCAGCTGGTGGTTGTGTAATTGTGTGGGGAATATTTTCTTGGCACACTTTGGGCTCCTTCATAACAAATTAGCAATGTTTAAATGCCACAGTTTAACTGCATATCACTGCATGTGTTTTTTATCCCTTTGTGACCACAGTGTGTCCATCTTAAGAAGGCTGCTTCCAGCTGGATGAAATACCATGTTACAAATAAAAAATATTAACACGTCAATGAGTTCACTGTACTCCGATGCCCTCCTCAGCCGCCAGATCTCAATTCATGTGTGTTGCTATCACGTCAATAAGGACCAAAATCTGAGCAAAGTTTCCAAGACCTTGTTGAATCTTAATTACAAAAAATTAGGACAGATCTAAAGACAGAAGGGGATCTAACCCGGTATTAACCACCTATATGTAAAAAAAAAATGTATGGTGAGTATAATACCAGTTCAGGAAGATGCAGAGCTAGCCTGATGCGGTGGCCAGAAACCGAAAAGCTGACATTAAAAATTATTAGAATTTGACAGCTCAATATCGAAAAGGCAGTCCCCAAACTCTTTGTTTTGCTTATTACACAGGAGATGAGGGCTGAGGTTGTCAAATATTTAAACATTAAACGGCCTTTCAGTTTATGTTTACATGTGTGACATTGATTAATCATTTCTATTCCACTTTAAACTCAGTATAATAAATCAGGTGGCACTCTTTGCTTTAGCCACCTCAATTACGTGTGAGCAAAGCAGATAGTGTGGCTCATCTACTGGAGGCATCATCAGGTGCACTCTGTGGGAGTACCTCCATCTGCTAACAGTGTAAACAAAGCTGCACGGCAAAAAGATAACGCCCAATCGACAAACTGTGTATATATGTGATTATAACAACGAGGCCGTCCTAATCTTTAAAACGGGCAGCGCGAGTAGCTGACACTGTGGCATATATCATCTGTTAAACACATGTCTGCTATCTGCCTCATTCAGTGTTTGCCTTCTCTCTACGAGCCTGACAGGATCTGCCTGTTCAGATACACAAATGTCATCGGGTTATTGTGAAGATACACAAGTCCTGTTAGCTTTCCAACAGAGAAAGGGGGACCAAAAACGACACAAAGGTGCCGGTTTATATAACAAGTACGGATAATTCCCTGAAAAGACGCTGCTGTGTCACAAAACACTCACACTAAGAGTTAACATGACTGTGGGTGTTAGCCTACTTAGCTTGCTAGCTTTCCTTTGAATAAAACGCGTATGATTTAAACCAAAAATGATGGCAAATAAACAAATTGAGATTTAAACAGAGAGATATTGTTTCGGAAGCTGACATTTCGTACCTTCTCTAGCGCCTCTTGTCGTGCCTGTCGTTTCTTTTCTTTTCTTTCATCGATGCTACTTGTACTCTCAAAACTGAGTCCGTACTCCGCCATAACAACGCCGTCAATGTTTTTGTAAAGTGTCGTAAAGCGTTGAGGTTTACGACTACTGTCGTTTTGTGGTTGTTGTAGTTCAAAAAGACGGCAGTAATTTTGTCGTCCAATGTTTTCGACTCAATTTTTTCTCCTTATCCTATTTCATTATATATGGACACTTATGATTTGGCACAATGTTTCACCTGACAGTTAACATTTACATTTACAATGACAATTTAATTCACTTCAACAGAATGTGATTTTAGTGTCTACAATGAAGATAGTAATCATAAATACAGACTGTATTTACAATCCACAGTCATTCAGCTAGGTGCTGGAAATATTCCCCAGATTTTGACCTATATTGACATGTTATCATCACACAGTTGTTGCAGATTTATTTGCTTCTTGTTTATTACTGAATTTCCTGGAGGAACCCATCCAAGGGATTAATAAAGTTTCATCTAATCTAATTATGCCAATCTCCTGTTCTACCACGTCCCAAATGTGCCCTACTGGAGTTAGATCCCATGACTCTGGAGGACATTTGAATACATTTTCATGATCAAGAAACCAGTTTGACGTCATCTGAGCTTTGTGACATGGTGTGTTATCCTGCTGTAGGCGGTCATCAAAGGATGGATATAGTTTGGTCACAGAAGAAATTCGATATGGTCAGCAGGAAGACTTAGGTAAGCTGTGACAACAATGCCCAGCTGGTACTAAGAGGCCCAACGTTCGCCAAGAAATTACCCCTCATGTCATTACACCACCATCAGGCTGAACTGTTGATATAGGTAGGATGAATCCATGCTTTCCTGTTGCCAAATTACACCACATCCTCTCAATGTTGCTGCAGAAATTAAGCGACTTCCTCCGGCAGTTCAAAGACCTGCAATGTGGGGTTAGGTTAATTGAGGATTATAAATTGCCCATAGTCATAAATGTGAGTGCAGATGGTTGTCTGTCTCTCTGTGTTAGCCCTGTGCAGATTGGCCAGGGTGTATCCTGGCTGCCTCTCGCCCTATGGTAGCTGGGATAGGATCTAGCCCACACGCAACCCTGATAAGGATAAATGAAAGAGAAAGGAAGGATGAGCAGTCGAACAAGTGTCCCTAGCAAAGTGGCTGGTGAGGAAATCAATCAAGGTTTGTTATTGTCTTATTCAGATCACACATATGACTTATGGATCAGGAAAGGACTTGCTTTCAGTAGAAATGTCTCTTGACTCCTGTGAGCTGATTTAAATGTCTTGCAGATTCCCAAATAAATAGGCTACACCTAAGGGAAAACACTAAAGCTTTACATGTCACAGAATGTCAAGTGCTGAAACTGCTGTCTGACACAACCACTACTGTACACTCACATCTTTTCTGTTAATGTTTTCTCTCACATGCAGCCTGTTTTACTTAGTCAATAAACCACTATCAATAAAAGCCTCCAACCCATCCGCCGTCTCAGCACCTAATGTGTTTGTCTCTGTGGGTCCCGGAGGAGCTGCCGATCAATTACTGACCTGACAGAGGAGCCACATGGAATAACCACGCTTCACTCCACAGACATCAATAGCCCATTATCCTACAATCCACTCGATCTTTTAGCTGCCTAGTAAAAAAAAAAAGAGAGATAGTTTTGAAGGTGTTTATAGAAAAAGAAGGAGTTGTTATTCAATTATACTTCAGCATTAGTGCATTATACAATCAAAATTAGAGAGAACTGAGCATAAAGATATTTTAATTAATTAAATCCATATTTATCTTGAACTAATCACAGCAGTTATAAGTTGTGAACAAGGGAATTGATAACAGCTGATATTTCTCATTTTTCCAAACATGAAATGATATTAATCGCAGGTACCAAATGAAATAAACCTTTTCAGTGTGCTCTGGCTTCGCCTGTTGTTTGTACCTGAAGCACCTGAAATACTGGGAACAGGCTCTTGTAGGGGACCAGTTCATGATTCCCATCTCTCATAGTGATAATAATAATGTTAATAATAACGCTGTAACAGTACATAACAATGGCCTCATATACTCATAGTGAATATGTCAGTATGCTGTGCTGTAGTGGCTACACCGAGCTGAGCAATTCGAGAACTACACACAGCTGTACTCTCATGCATGGGCACTGGATACATGCCTTCATAACTACTTAATTTGACGCTATAATCACAGATGCACCATATTTAAAATGATAAGTAAATCTTTCTATGTCCAAGACAATATGTCCAGACGTGATTACAAACTACCCAGATAACATTAAGGTAATGGAGCAGTGCATGTGGTAGTATGGCTTTCAATACTTTACATAAATTACACTACTCACACTACTACACTATACGACATTATATAAATACTCTACTCAAATATTGTAGTCTGTCAGAGAAACTCCTAAAAGATATAACCATACTGGGAGTTGTTTCCTCACTTTTTTCGTGGCATAGCTCTGTAACAACAAAGGAGGGCCTTATAGGGTCTGTTAATTAATGTGGCCTTAAGAAACACAAACACATTACAGGGTGCACATATTATTCAAGTCCGTGTATGTGAGGAGCAGGATTAAGAATTTAAATCTGGACTTAACAGGGAGCCAATGAAGAGAAGCCAATACAGGAGAAATATTTTTTCAATATTTTCTCAATTTCTAGTCCCTGTCAGTACTCTTGCTGCAGCATTTTGGCTTTTCAGGGAGTTTTTAGGACATCCTGATAAAAATGAATTACAGTAGTCCAGCCTAGAAGTAATAAATGCATGAACTAGTTTTTCAGTGCCATTCAGAGACAGAACATTTCTAATTTTAGAAGTATTGCGCAAATGGAAGAAAGCAGTCCTACTGGAGGCCAAGGTAATGCCATCCAGAATTAGATTCTGGTTGGATATATTTGTAAGATTACTATAACCTCAGTTTTATCTGAAGTTAGAAGAAGAACCTTAGAGGTCATCCAGGTCTTTATATCTTGAAGACATTTCTGCAGTTTAAATAATTGGTGTGTGTTATCTGGCTTAATGGATAGATAAATTTAGGTGTCATCTGCATAGCAGTGAAAATGTATGCTATACCTTCTAATAACACTGCCTAAAAGAAGCATGTATAATGTAAACAGAATTGGTCCAAGCACAGAACCCTGTGGAACTCCATAATTAATCTTATTGTGTGAAGAGGACTCCCTATTTACATGAACAAATTGGAGTCTATCACATAGGTATGATTCAAACCACTGCAGCGCAGTACCTGCAACACCTACAGCATGCTCTAATTGCTGTAATAAAATATTGTGGTCAATAGTATTGAACGCTGCACTGAGGTGTAGCAGGACAAGCACAGACATGAGTCCGCTGTCATAGGTCTTTAAAAGATCATTTGTAACTTAAGATTTCTTTTCTCATACTTTTCTCATAGTAAGTGCTTTTTTGTGGACAAAACAGACTAGTGGCAGGGTTCCAAAAACTACTAAAGGGATCAGAGGCATCAAGAGTACTGCAATAGAAAACAACTGAATTTGGTCAAATTTAGAAGTGCTCAATCATCCAGGTAAGGAAATCCCAAAAAGTTTATCCTGTTGATCTGGACGTAACGTTTTCAGTGGGGGAAAGTTTCGTCACTCATCCAAGTGACTTCTTCAGTTTTCTGCAGTACTGACTCTGGCATGTGAAATATGTTGAATAAAGACACAGTGGTCCTGTCGCCAAGGCGCCAAAAATTGGTCCGCTCCTAGGATCGGGTCCCCCGGCAAAAACAGAGTAATATGGTATACACTGTTAAGTGCCAAGGGGATTGCCATGATTAATACATTGGGGAGACCAAACAACCTCTGGCTAAGCAAATTGCACAGCACAGAAGTGCTAACTCCTCAGGCCAGGACTTTCCAGTCTATTCAGACATACAGGTCAGTGACCACTATTTCATTGATGAGGATGTACACATCCTGGACAGGGAGCAATGCTGGTTTGAGCGGGGAGTCAAGGAGGCCGTTTGAAAAGAGAAAGGCCCTCTCTGAATTGAGGAGGGGGCGTAAGGGTACATCTTTCACCATCTTACAATGCTGTGACTGCAGCCATTCCCCAACTCTCAGTGAATGGTACTGTTGCTGGGCAAAACCAGCAACGGTCAACTTATGTTTCAATAAAGTGTGTATGTGGGTTTTTTTTCCAAGAGGCAGATATTTATTCCATCAAGATGTGTTCACTCAGGAGATTCAACAAATGAAAAATACTAAGTGATTTTTTTATTTTTCCAGTTAACAAGTATTGTTTTCTTAGCGATGGCTACAGGTGTTAGCGTGGGTTAAGGTTGTTTGGTTGGAAGATCAATTGAAGTTATGACACAGAGCAAGCAGAAATGAGGAGAAATTGGGATTCTACAGCCCAAGATAGGGGAAAGGTTTTGAGTGACTTGAAGCCAGGAATCCTGAACAGGTGAGCAGAGCCATACTGTGTGAGAATTAGTGTCTAGGTTGTTTTAACTACAGGGAAAATATCAGAATCAGGAAAAAAAAAAGTTATTTAGCATCTGTTTCATGATATGAGTTCTGTGAAGGATTTAATATCGAATGAGTCGTAAATTAATATTTTTTGTCACTGAGAATGTATTTTTACAAATATGTGCTGAAAAATAATGTTCTAAAGACTTTTTCCTGTTTAGAGATGGGTAGATGTATTGAATTTGTGGTTGAAATTAGTTTATATAACTTAGAGAATTGTTTTGGTTGTTGGAGAAATCACTGAAAACTCTTTTACATATGCCAGTGGTTATAAAGGGCTGTGAGGCATAGGAATTTTTTCTTAACTGCATTCTTTAGTTGTTGATTACAAGAGTATTTCGGTTGCCTAGTCCAAATCTTTGAAACACGTTAGTAGCTTTTTCTAAAACTGTCTTTCATCAGAAATTGAGAATCACTCTTGTCGTTCTTTTTCTAAAAGTAGAACGGGAGGCAGACTTTCAGCTATCAGCACCCTCACCTGTGGAACCAGCCCACAATTTATTTTCAGTAGACAGAGACTCTCCTCTTTTAAATGAGACTCAAAACTTTC